ACACTCATACACACATTAAACACGCACACACACACACACACACACACACACTCACTCACTCACACTCACACACAACTCTTTGTAATTAATAATTTGTAATCCCACAATGCAATGCACTCAATTTAGTATATTCTATTTCCAGCATGACAATGTTTGATCAAATAAGCTCTAATATGTCTAATATTACAGATATATTGCCACTTAAATGTTTTTCTTTAAACTCTATTTCTGGAAAATTTATTGAATAATTCACGCCAAAACAATTGTTTTATAATTATTAAATAATTATTTAGATTGACTTAACACAGCGGAAAAATATTGTACATATTGTAAACAAACACACACACATATATTTGATAGAGCTCAACTTTCTGAAGAAATGTGCAGAAACTTATATTCCATAGCGACTTAAATAATGCACTTCAATGATTGCTTATTTACACAATATTTAGTGCATTAGATGCTTAAATCAATTACCATATTTAATTCAGATTTAGAAGGCAGTTGACACGCTTTCATCAAAAAATCTGAAAGTTTGTTCATTCAGCTCAACATTATGATGTAATATTTATTATATTTAATTTTTTAAGTTATATATTTTTTTCATATATTTAATTGTTTTTATAATTGTTTATTATATTTTTTAAATTGCATTTGTTTGATGCTTTTATTTTATAATTTATATTTTATTTTTTAATACAAATAATAATTTAATAAAACGTGACCTGTACACTGATGCTTTATCTGTGCTTTTTCTCTCAACAATGCAGTTCTGACCCAGTGCAACTTATTTTCCGCCATAAGTGCACTATTCTATGACACTCTGTAGTATAAATGTGTGCTCACACTGAAAAGCCAACAAAAACAAGTGCACTTAAAATGAAAGGGTTACTGCACTGATTAAACCAAAAAAAAACAAGTACTGAATGATGCATTCAGCAGCTGTAAGCTTTAGTTCTGCATCAGAAGGACAGCAGCTATCAGACTCTGATGCTGGATGACAAAAGAACCGTCTTAAAGACAGGAGAGTGCGGGGCGTTTCACGTGAGACTCACGCAGCAGTCGGTCCAGTAGATGTGCAGGAAGGGGAACGTCAGCAGCGCTTTATTTCCCTCTTTAGGAAGCAGTTCCTCCTTAAACTGGACAAAATTAGCCTCCAGATAGATCATCTTCGGTGCTCGTCCGTAAGACCTGAGACGAGAAACATCTGATTAATGACACGAGATGAAGATTTGATCCACACAGACACACACACACACACAGACACACACAGAGACACACACAGAGAGACACAGAGAGACACACACACACACAGACACACACAGAGACACCCACACACACTTTTGTTTCACTTTTTAAGCTTTTTTTACTTCAACAATAATCTGCCATGGGTCTTCTTTAAAATGAGACCAAACTTAACTATGTGCTCCCAAGCATCAGTTTTTTGACATGGACATTTTTGTCCACTATGGACCTGTGTGTAACTTTTTTTAATTGACGCATTGGGGTTAAAAAAGAAAAAAACTCTTGTTTGTAGGGCTGCACAATTTGGCCAAAATTATGTGATTATATCAATATGGCTATAAAATGATAATGATAACAATAATCATTATTATTAGAAATACTAAAATTACTATTAGTAGTCACTTTATAATAATAATAATAATAACTACTAAAACTAAATCAAAATATAAAAATGATTAAATAAAATCAAAATAAGAAATATTACTATTGGACCAGGGCTGCAAAATTTGCACAAACTCTCTTGATTATATCAATATGGCTACATAATAATTATTACTACATAAAAACTAAAATTACTAAAATCAAACTAAGAAATATTATGTATTTTTTACTGTAAAGTCAAAAATGAGTATTTAAGAAAAAACATTATAACCAAAAGTTACAATATAATATTTATGGCTGTATTAATTTCTTTATTTTCAAAAGTTCTGACTAGGGTTGCAAAGGGGTGGAAAATTTCCGGTAAGTTTCTGCAAGCTTTCCAAAAATCCCTGGAATACTCCAAAAAATCCTGGAAAAATTCCAAAATTTATGGAATATTTCAGAAATTTACTGGAAATTTTCCACCTTTTTGCAACCCTAGTTCTGACAGAAAACTGCAGGGAGCCTGAAAGTGTGTAAATGAGCGCTTCACTTTGAAACATGCAGTGCATATATTTATTAATATATATAATCGCACTAAGCCATTTCGGTTATTCTGATTAATCATGCAGCCCTATTATCCTAAAATTCTGGCTACATTAGAGAATAATAATATATACTAAAGGTGGCATGAAATTAAATTAACCCTATCTGTTTTCTAAAAGCATGTTATAGATCTTATCGTGAATGATTCATCTGTGCTTAAGCATCACTTTTATAATGTTTTGAGTTTGTAAGTGCTCTTAAACTCCGCCCCTCATCGGCACACACTTGAGCCACGCCCACATCTCAACATCCAATCAACAGCTGATGCACAGAGCCAGGCCCCGTCCTACATGCGTTCCTCCTGATAACCAGCAAAGCTCTGACGCTGCTTCTGTTTCAGTGACTTTACTCTATAACACACAATAAAAGCGCTCACCTCCTCCACTCCATGGGCTCTCTGGGCAGCTGCTGGGTCAGTGATCCGTACAGAGCTGTGAACAGGTTCTGATCGCCCGCACCTGCTCAACACACACACACACACACACAGTGCTCAGTTCACACACAGCAGCAGCTCACACTGATGAAAGTCACTGATATGCATGATGAAAGTCTTTCTAAAACTCTCTACAACTCACTCAGTTTGGGTTATTTAAAGAAACTAACAAATGAAATAGCAAAGTACTGCGGTACAGTGATTGTATTTAACAGCATTAGGTACACGGATATACTACAGTATTCATACAGCACATAATTCACTACAGTAAATCTGATGACTGATGAATTCATCTGTGATTACACTTTCGAAATGATTCAGACTGATTCGGGAATTAACGGATATGAACTGATTCAAAAGAATGATTCGTTTGGGGTTTTACGCTACATGAGTAACATCCTGCAAAATATCAAAGCATTCTAAAATGATAGTAAGTCTACGTTTACGGGATTTTTTCCTTAATAATTACATGAATTATTCAAATCGGTTCATGGATTAAAAACGATTCAAAAGAATGATTCATTCAGTTTGAGGGTTTAAGTCTACATAAGAAATATGCCGCTAAGAGCAAAGCTGCAAATTATAGACTCAATATCATTATCTGATATTTCCAGAAATTATGTATTAATTATTCCTTGAATTATTCGAACCGATTCATGGAAGAGAACCGATTCAAAAGAACGATTCGTTCAGGATTTGACTCTACACAAGCGATATCCAGCTAAGAGCAAACCTGCAAAATACAGACTCACTACACTGTAAAATCCCCAGATATCTCATGATTTCCATGATGACATGAAGAATATCTCGCAGCATGAATCAGATGTCAGTGTGAAGCTTCACAACACAGCGAAACACTGACTGACCAGAATGAATCAGTGATGGAAGAATATGCAGAGAGTGTGTGTCATTAATGTCAGAACACGAACATGAACACACACACACACACACACACACACGCACACACACACACACACACACTCACTCTCACACACACACACTCACTCTCACACACACACACTCACTCTCACACACACACACTCACTCTCACACACACACACTCACTCTCACACACACACACTCACTCTCACACACACACACTCACTCTCACACACACACACTCACTCTCACACACACACACTCACTCTCACACACACACACTCACTCTCACACACACACACTCACTCTCACACACACACACTCACTCTCACACACACACACTCACTCTCACACACACACACTCACTCTCACACACACACACTCACTCTCACACACACACACTCACTCTCACACACACACACTCACTCTCACACACACACACTCACTCTCACACACACACACTCACTCTCACACACACACACTCACTCTCACACACACACACTCACTCTCACACACACACACTCACTCTCACACACACACACTCACTCTCACACACACACACTCACTCTCACACACACACACTCACTCTCACACACACACACTCACTCTCACACACACACACTCACTCTCACACACACACACTCACTCTCACACACACACACTCACTCTCACACACACACACTCACTCTCACACACACACACTCACTCTCACACACACACACTCACTCTCACACACACACACTCACTCTCACACACACACACTCACTCTCACACACACACACTCACTCTCACACACACACACTCACTCTCACACACACACACTCACTCTCACACACACACACTCACTCTCACACACACACACTCACTCTCACACACACACACTCACTCTCACACACACACACTCACTCTCACACACACACACTCACTCTCACACACACACACTCACTCTCACACACACACACTCACTCTCACACACACACACTCACTCTCACACACACACACTCACTCTCACACACACACACTCACTCTCACACACACACACTCACTCTCACACACACACACTCACTCTCACACACACACACTCACTCTCACACACACACACTCACTCTCACACACACACACTCACTCTCACACACACACACTCACTCTCACACACACACACTCACTCTCACACACACACACTCACTCTCACACACACACACTCACTCTCACACACACACACTCACTCTCACACACACACACTCACTCTCACACACACACACTCACTCTCACACACACACACTCACTCTCACACACACACACTCACTCTCACACACACACACTCACTCTCACACACACACACTCACTCTCACACACACACACTCACTCTCACACACACACACTCACTCTCACACACACACACTCACTCTCACACACACACACTCACTCTCACACACACACACTCACTCTCACACACACACACTCACTCTCACACACACACACTCACTCTCACACACACACACTCACTCTCACACACACACACTCACTCTCACACACACACACTCACTCTCACACACACACACTCACTCTCACACACACACACTCACTCTCACACACACACACTCACTCTCACACACACACACTCACTCTCACACACACACACACACTCACACACTCTCTCTCTCTCTCTCTCTCACACACACTCACAGGTCACTATGGGTTTGTTCTCCATCGTGTAGATGATGGGTTTCTCCTCATGGGGCTCCATGGGTTCCGTTCACCAGCATCGGTCACTCTCACCGCCGCTAATCTATCGATGAGGCCCCTTCTCTCTCCATTTCCTATCTGCTGACACGGAGCGACGACTTCCGCCCGCGTCACTGCCACACCGGATGTACACGCGCTAGTTTGCGTTTTAGTATTTCAAAACAAGAGATCAAAAAAGCTTTAAAGCAATTCTTTTTTTCTGTCTTTAGTGCCAGTTTGTAATGCATTTAATACACTTATTCTATTAAATTTTTGGTTTATTTTGTTAAGACATTTACACTGTGAAAATATAAATTGCACACAAAAACAGTTACAACATTAACTTTTTGTATATACATTTTTAAGTTAGGCTTCTACTTGATGACAAACCCCAAATGAGTGTGTCTCAGGTGCTCCATAGAGTTATTATAGTTACTAAAACTACAGCCATAAGAATGTAAAACATTTTCATTACTTGAAATAAAGTAAACGTATATAACATAATAATAATATAGTTAACTAAAACCAAAACCTTTAAAAACATGTTTGTAACGTAGAATACATGTTAACTGAAATAAAATAAAATATAAAAATTAACTCATTTTATTTCAGCTAGTGACCAAGGCAATGTTTGTCATTTTAATTCATTTTAACTTGATGTCCTAAAATAATTCAGACTAAAACTATACTCTCTCTCTCTCTCTATATATATATATATAAAATAATAATAAAAAAATTAAATATAACAATGACAAAACACAACAAAATTACTAAAACTTTAACTAAAATTAAAATGACAAACTATATTAAAATAAGATATAAAAACAACAAAACACTCATATATATATATATATATATATATATATATATTACCAAAACTATATCTCAATGATACCAAAATTACACTGATATACAGTATGCTAAAGGTTGCTTTGTTGCACATTGTCGCTAATATTTCTATATTCATTGTCTGGTGATAAAATCATATAAAGAAACAGGCATGTTAAATTATTATTTTACAATAGTTTACAACTGAATATGTTATTAATATTAATATAAGTAAATGTGAATAATTGTACAGTTTTCCCACATAAACACATTATCATCAATAGAAAAATATATGTTAAATATAAAAACCATTACATAATTTTTTTTGTAATTTGACATTATTTTCATGACATTTCAGCACAGATGAATCATCTCGATGTCTGCAGGCTTGTATGGAGAACGAAACCTGCAAAAACAATAAATAAATGCACAAATACATAAATAAATGTGTGTATAAATACACAAATTCTTGTTTAAATACATATAGATATTTATTTATTTATTGTTTTTGCAGGTTTCGTCCTCCATAGGCTTGTGCTCTGAAACAGTACGTGTCTAGAACGCGTCACGAGGACTTGTATTTTGAAATCGGCCCCCGTGCGCCGCCATGTTCTTGGGAGCACGCGCGCCATTAGACCGCAGCAGGCCGCGAGGGAGACGGTTGATTCGGTTCGCTGAGGAGAAATCGAGCGAGAATCGCGCTTCTACCGCACGGATTTAAATGTCTTTCGATTGACGTTCGCCACAATGACGTCCAGCACTAATGTGATCCAGGTGACGAACGTGTCGCCGAGCAGCACCGCGGAGCAGATGCGAACCCTGTTCGGCTTCATCGGAACCATCGACGAGCTCCGACTCTTTCCTCCAGAGTGAGTATAAAATGTTCAAAACACGCCCCTCAGGAAAAAAAAACATCCAGATAAGTGTATTTAATAAGGAGACGGCTATATACACACACATACACTGTAGATCTTCTATAAAACAATACCGAATATCTGTCTATTCATCCCGATTAAATATAAATCTAGATCTAAACACGCCGCCAGGGTTGCCAGGTTTTCTCAACAAAACCCGCCCAATCGCATTCCGGGGTAAAATACACGTTTTTTGGCGGGGTTCCACTGGTAAAATATGCATTCCACGCTAAATCTCTTGTTATTCTCACTCGCTCTCGATCAACTACACAAACCGGAACTCAACTGCTCATCATTGTTTATTCGTAATATAGTTTATCGTTTATCACCAGGCCTCCTCGGGATGAATTAATAACACTAATAACTGATGTTTGATGCGCTTATTTTACAGTATAAAGCGCCGTGCGTCACACCTCGTTGCGTGCGTGCGTCATTAAACGGAACGCAACGCAACGCGATGACGTCACACGCGCAGGGTTTCTGAAGCTTTAATTCTCCCTTCAACAAATTAAAGACTTGATTCGGAGCAGAAAGTCACTAAAGCATTAAATGTTGCGTGCGCTGCATGTTTTCCAGTACAGATATCTAAACATCCTTAAATCAGGATGCATTTACTGGAAATGTAAAACAACGTAATGAAGTGGGTTTATGATTAAAACAAGAATCTGTCCATTGGGTGGGGGGGGGGGGGGGTGCAGTGTTTCAAAGGTACAGTAAAAGTTACTTGCGCATTATAGTTAGTGATCGACCGATATTGATATTTTATAACCGATACCAATTATTTGCGTGTTTATGTGCCCGATAACCGATATGCAGAACCGATATTTATTTACTGTTATAAAGTAAATAAATGACTGAAAATATCGGTAAATCGATATATCGGTCGATCTCTAATTATAGTGTTTGGAATAGAGAGATTCAAGTTTTAAAGGAGTAGTTCACTTCCAGAATTAAAATCTCCTGATGATTTACTCGCCTCAATGTCATCCGAGATGTTCACGTCTTTCTGTCTTCAGTCGCAAAGAAATGAAGGTTTTTGAGGAAAACGTTCCAGGATTTTTCTCCATATAATGGACTTCAGTGGTGCTCAACGGGCTGAAGGTCAAATCACAGTTTCTTAAAAAGTAATTGAGATTGCTTTTACGTTGTGTTTTCAAACTTTAAAGAGACATCATATTGACGTATCGTGTTGTATTCAATTTATTCCATAATTGTTTTTAACTTTGGTCGTAAACGCAACAGCGATGTACTAAAAATGCGTTTGCATTTTTGAAAAGTTTCACGTACAGACGACAGCATTGTCAAAACAAACCCGGTTCATACAGATTCGCCAAAACGCCTGAAAACGCAGTATTGTGCACGACAGGCCAGTAGGTGGCGACGTCACTTTTTAAAGAAACGCCTGTAGGCTGAACACATATGCATGTGTTTTCACGTAGTTTACGTAAAGACAGTAATGGAATCGTTTTCAAACACTTGCGCTTTGATACCCGTTTTCTAAAGCTTGCATTTTCAGCGTGTAAATGACCTGCCAAAACGCATAAAAGGCTTTCAGTGTTTACTTGAAACCCGCAGAAGCCCTGTTTTAGGCTTAGGAACACACATGCATGCTGTTTCCAGGCCTGGTGTCTTGATTTCTCTGCTCCATCATCAGGCAGTATGTAGGCTTCTCCACTAGCTAACTTCTGTTCTGTGCTTTTGTTGTTTTTCACCCATCGAAAAACATCTGGCGTGGTCATATCTGCAGCGAAGGTAGGCCGCTGGTGGATCTAAACCCGAGCCGGATCTGGCGCATTTGCCTGAAGCGTGACTGTTTGACTGCAGGAGGTGTTGTTGAACGTTGTGTGTACATCTCGCAAAAGCATCTATATTTTCTTTCAGTGATTCTCCCTTGCCTGTGACTTCACGTGTATGTTTTGTAAAGTTCCACGAGCCGGAGTCAGTCGGAGTTTCCCAGCATCTGACCAACACGGTGTTCGTGGACCGAGCCCTGATCGTCGTCCCCTTCGCCGAAGGTTTGTGCCGCTCTTTTCCAATCTTCACGTTCATGTGATCGATCCCTTCGCACCCCCAGTGGCCGTCATACAGGTGTATATTTCAGAAATATCAATGGGGAATGAAGCCTGAGTGGCAGGAGCTCATGTTTAACTCATTTAGATCCATTTTTTTTTGTTAAACTTTTCTCTTTGTCATTTGTGTGTGTGATTTTTATAGTGAACAAGGCAATTGCAGAGCCGGCAGATGTCTGAGAGTGACCCTGTAGACAAATAATCGAGACCGGCCCACGTGTTTCCCTGCTGTAAACTATTATCCTCTCTCTTGTGTCTCCATCTGAGCTCACAGACAAAGATCGATCGCTCTATTCATTGCACAGCACTAATGTTTAGGCTCAGAATGTTTCTGCATTGCATGCTAATAAAGTACGGTAAGATGAGCTGTAGCGCATTATGCATGAGTGTTTAGCACAGCGCGTAATGATAGGGCTTTCCTGTGCGATTGTAATATTTCTCCAACCTCCCTTTAATATTTTCAGCTTTTTTTTTTGTTGTTTTTTATTTGAGTAAGAATCAGGTCTAGAATGTGTTTTGTTCCTCTCCACATGACTGAAAAAGGCCTGAGAAGCTTTTTAACGGTCGCTTCTGTTTTTTGTTGTTGTGTTTTCCAGTTCTTTTCCCTGGTTCTGCAAGTCCTGTAAACCAGGCCCAGCAGAAAATGCCACCCAACAGTTTTGTCTTCTGCAGCTTGTCCTGTTTCTCTCTCTCTCTCTCTCTCTCTCTCTCGTATTCTCTCTCTCTCGTGTGTGTGTGTGTGATGATTGTGTTGTTTGGAGTGAAATATTAATTTCAGAGCGCTCGCCCAATGGAATCCATGCACTCACCAAACGCTCATTGTCATTTAACTCTAGTTATTTTCCTCTTCAGCATTTGACACACAGTCTAGAGTTTAAAATGGGCTTTTGCTGGAAGTTTATGCCATAGGATTCTGTTTTAGACCAGGTAACGGCAGCTTTAGCTCTCAAAGCCCCGTAAGCCAATGTTATTTGCATTAGTAATGGTAAGTCATGCCATCAGTGGATTGATGAACTGTCATTTGATGCTGACACCCGAATCATAAACTCTGTTTTGTCTATCTTGATGTCTCTGTGTGCTTTATAGCGAAGCAGCTGACCTGAATCGCTTGTTCATTATACAACTTATGAAACTTGAGAGCACATCCCAGTGGAGATCCGGCTGTGCTTGCTTACATTTGGTTCATGACTTAAAAAATCAAGTTCAGGTGATAACATCTTGGCAGTGTGTCTAGTGTCATTTCCTTTTCTTGTAGTATTGTGCACTTGATGCTTTTGTTAAGGGACCTCATGTGTTAGCTTCCTCTGACAAAGCGAGTACTGATGTCAGTGCAAATGTAAAAAGAAAGTTTGACTTTGTGGGTCTGTCTATGTGTGGCACGAGAAGCGTGGCGCGGTTTGATTGTGCCGTTTCCGTCCTGCAGGAGTGATTCCTGACGAATCCAAGGCTCTGTCGCTGCTCGCTCCAGCCAATGCCGTCGCAGGATTGTTGCCAGGAGGCGGACTCCTCCCGACGCCCAACCCCATCCCATCTGTGAGTGTCAATCGGTGTAACCAGAGACCATCGGCCGCTCTGCACTAGCTATGTTTCCATCCAAAGATTCGAATTAAACTTATGTGCAAAACTGGAATATCGCATAAAACATTTGCGAATAAAGCACCGTTTCCATCCAACGAGTCAAAGAGAACAAAATAGTCACATCAAAATACACTGAACAATATTTAAATAGTATTAAAAGTATTAAAATAGTATCAAAAGTTCTGAAATAGGATAAAAATGCTCAGGCATTTTAGAATGACCATAACGTTTCAGATGCTGTGAACAAGATCGGTCCGCTGGTCAAAGTTATCCCATCTCATAGCGCAAAGTCACATAACTTTCGGCGCACATGAAAAAGCGCATTATTCAGTAAATGTGTTTCCATCGTAGTTTGTGCGTTTTTTCATATTGGATAAAGTTTATCCTACTCAAATGAGCGCATAAGTGTTTTTTTTTTTTTTTTTAGAACCTTCATTTTTAGAATTTATGCACATCTTGGCGTTTCCATCCAGCTTTTTTTTAAATGCGATATTCCAAAATGTGCAAAAAATAGGTGGATGGAAACATAGCTGCTGTAATGATGCTGATGTTTTGTCTGTCCTCAGATCGGTGGCGTTCCTCTAGGTCTTGGAGGGCCAAACTTGGACCCCATGGCAGCTCTGGCTTTGGCGGCGCCCAATATAAACACTCAGGTTTGACGCCTTTCGGCTCCATCATCGATGGCCCTGCTCCAAACCTTGAGCAGAAGGATTTTTACTAATGCTTGTTGTGTTTTTCTTCTTAGTCTTTGTCAGCTGAGCAGCTTATGAAGCTTATGGCATCCATAGACCCCAAGTAAGTCCATCAGTATCAAGCGTTTACTCATCAGGGGCCCTATGAAATCAGTTTAAATATTCCCAAATTCCAGGTTCCCCATGGTGGTTTAAATAAACCATTAAAAGTATGTCTAAGCAATTGAATTCATGAACTAATATTTATAAAATCTTTACAATAACAGCCCTATGAACGTTTTATTTGTGTAGAAATTGTCTGTTTTAATTTTCCATGTTTTAATGCTGATAATCAAGGCATAAAACAATTTAAATAATCTTTGTAATCAAATGATTATTTTTATTTTTGGGTTTACTCTTAAAAACATGGAATAAAAATGTGATTCCTTTAAAAAAAAAATGGTTTAATGATTGCTGCTGTTTGAGTATTCTACTCATTCTAATAATTAAGTTTTTATTGTACAATACTAATTTTATTTTTCATAATTTCAAGTTAAACCAATCTTTTGATGGTTTCATGTGAAGAGCTTTGAGTCTGTTTGATGATGGTTTTCTAAAATTAAAAGGTTAAATACTGCCCTGCTCAATCACACAGAGGCACGCAGATTTCATATTTCAACGCCAATCTTTTACAGTTTAATATTCATAGAGAGTAGTCCTTGATTTTACTACTTTTCTTATGCTTTATTCGTCTAAAACTTGCCCATTTTTGTGTCACTCATAGCTATACTGTAAATTCCATTCTAATGACTGAATTTCGTGATTCTGATCTCTCATCTATCTGAGCTTTTGCTATCATTTCAGGCTGAATCATCTCGCCGCGGGGCTGAATCTGACCCCTGGACTGAAGGCGGACGGCTCGAATAAAGAGATCGAAGAAGCCATGAAGCGAGTGAGAGAGGCCCAGTCTCTGATCTCCGCTGCCATCGAGCCCGGAAGTGAGTGATTGAGCTGCTAGATCAAAGATATCTGAAAGAACACTGTGCTAAAGCGTTTGCTTCTTCAGGTAAGAAGGATGATAAACGCAAGCGCTCCAGGTCCAGATCCCGGCGCAGGAGGTCCAGGTCCCGCTCCAGACACAGGTTTGTGTTGACGTCTCAGTTAGAGCTCAGAGCTGAGATGCATGCGTGGTCACGGTCTGATGTGAGTTTGCTGTGAGCGCAGGAGGTCTAAGAGTCGCTCCAGACGGAGATCTCGCTCCAGGAGCAGGAGGAGGTCCAAGAGCCCCAGGAGGAGGAAGTCTCGTTCCAGAGACCGCAGCAGACGCTCCAGGTCCAGGTGAGTTCGGATGAAAGCACCTCAAGCGGGTGAAATGTGTTCTGGGTTAGTTGTGGGGCGTATGTTGGGCGATATGCTCCATAGTCCTGTCATCAGCCTGTGAGATCGCCGATACACGCCGATTTAATTATTTACTTGTGTAGTTTCATAGCCGGACTCCAGTGTAATCTATCAGCTACACATTATATCTTTTTAGTCAAGTAGCATATGGATGTCACGTCATAAAATATTTTTAATATGACTGAATTTGTATTTAACATAATAACTAGGGATGTAACGATTAACCGCGAGCCGGTTGAAAATCAATTCAAATATGTGACGATTCAAATCGGTTGAGATGCAAAACAATCGTGATTCATTTAGGTGTAGGAGTTTATATGAATGCATGTCTGAGGGGAACTTACGGTCTTTAGAAAAGTTTAGATGGTATTTTTTGTTTTCAGCTTTCTCTGTATAATGCATATTAAAGTTCATAAGTGCAGCGCTGCTTTGTTTACAGCGGTAACCAAGGAAACACTGTATCATTGCTGTTCATAAACGCAGCACTGCTTTGTTTACAGCAGTAACCATGGAAACACTGTATCATTGCTGTTCATAAGTGCAGCACTGCTTTGTTGGTTGCCTCTAATTTTAAAAGGAAAGAGCACAGACAAAGCCTTAGTTTGTTTATATGAAGAGATTTATTTTATTTGTGTTACTTATTTATTTGATTTGGGGCTTGTTTTAAAATTTCCATTTAGTTTTGTTATTTACATTTACATTACATTTAAATTTAGTCATTTAGCTGATGCTTTTATCCAAAGCGACTAACAGATGAGGACAATAGAAGCAATCAAAACCAACAAAAGAGCAATAATTTACAAGTGCTATATTAGTATATTATTATAGTGTTATATTTCAATTTGACAAAGAAATGTGCAGTATTTTGTCCAAGCAATAATAAAAGGACACATAATTTATCATTTGTCTTAAATCTCATTTTGTAAAAAAAAAAATCATGAATCGAATCGTGAGTTGAGTGAATCATTACATCCCTAATGATAGCCATTTAATAAAAACATATTATAATGCTTACATTTCCTCAGTTATTCAAACAGCAGCGACAGAAAGCGAGCAAAGAACATTTACACCATCAAAGAATAATCCCTTTAAAAACACTCCCGTTACAGTCAGTGAAGCCGTCTACACTGTACGATGAATAAATCTCTTATTCTTACATCGCACGCACATCTGCACTGTGTTTATGAGGAGAGAATTCGCGAGAGAGCACTGAACAAAACTCTGGTGTCCCAGCGATGACTCATCTGAACGCCGCTGCATTCATAAACTCAACGGAATCGTGTGATTGGTTACTGTAGAAATATGATGGAACAAATAAGCCCTAATATTAATTAGATATGAAAATACTAGCCTGATGATGACTGTCGTCGCTCGGCTTGTTTGTTTCTGATGTAGAGATCGGAGGAAGGATGACAAGAACAGAAAACGCTCAAAAACTCCACCCAAGAGCTACAGCAGCGCCAGACGCTCCCGCAGCACCAGCCGGTGAGTGGTGAAAACACCTCCCAGATTCAGCTTTCATTTATGAATTCTGCTTTAATGGTTAAATAGAAATTGTAGTGATCAGAAAGCCAAGTCTGGTAATAACCAGACTGTATGTCACACAAGACAAACCCATGTAAACCCAAGGAGAAGAATTGCCTTTGTGATTTATTTATTTATTTTTTAGAAACTACATTAATGGACATTTTTTAAGTTCCTCTAAGGAAAATATTAGAATTGATCCATTTCTATATATTGTTAAATTACTGCATATAATTCATTGAGTTATTATTGTTAAGACCGTTTTAAATTGTTACTTTTGAGTTTTCCATTAATATGGCCTTTGATGCTGATATGGCATAAAATGATTAATTAAAATGTAAAAATTGTACAAAGTTTAACAAAAATAAATTTTTTAGGGCTTTATGAAATACTTTTTATATTTTCCCAAATTCTGTGATTTCGGTAAAAAAAACAACTAATTTTCCCTTTTGGTTTGCATTTTATTGGTTTAATTAAATTCACATCTTTACCTATTTAATAACAAGTTAATTTTTACACTATTAGGGCACTATGAAATATTTTGTCTTTCCACTCCCATTACAGTCAGTGAAGCCGTCTACACTGTACGATGAATAAATCTCTTATTCTTACATCGCACGCACATCTGCACTGTGTTTATGAGGAGAGAATTCGCGAGAGAGCACTGAACAAAACTCTGGTGTCCCAGCGATGACTCATCTGAACGCCGCTGCATTCATAAACTCAACGGAATCGTGTGATTGGTTACTGTAGAAATATGATGGAACAAATAAGCCCTAATATTAATTAGATATGAAAATACTAGCCTGATGATGACTGTCGTCGCTCGGCTTGTTTGTTTCTGATGTAGAGATCGGAGGAAGGATGACAAGAACAGAAAACGCTCAAAAACTCCACCCAAGAGCTACAGCAGCGCCAGACGCTCCCGCAGCACCAGCCGGTGAGTGGTGAAAACACCTCCCAGATTCAGCTTTCATTTATGAATTCTGCTTTAATGGTTAAATAGAAATTGTAGTGATCAGAAAGCCAAGTCTGGTAATAACCAGACTGTATGTCACACAAGACAAACCCATGTAAACCCAAGAAGAAGAATTGCCTTTGTGATTTATTTATTTATTTTTTAGAAACTACATTAATGGACATTTTTTAAGTTCCTCTAAGGAAAATATTAGAATTGATCCATTTCTATATATTGTTAAATTACTGCATATAATTCATTGAGTTATTATTGTTAAGACCGTTTTAAATTGTTACTTTTGAGTTTTCCATTAATATGGCCTTTGATGCTGATATGGCATAAAATGATTAATTAAAATGTAAAAATTGTACAAAGTTTAACAAAAATAAATTTTTTAGGGCTTTATGAAATACTTTTTATATTTTCCCAAATTCTGTGATTTCGGTAAAAAAAACAACTAATTTTCCCTTTTGGTTTGCATTTTATTGGTTTAATTAAATTCACATCTTTACCTATTTAATAACAAGTTAATTTTTACACTATTAGGGCACTATGAAATATTTTGTCTTTCAGAAATTCAGTTTTAATTTCTAGATTTATGATTTAATACAATTTAATCTTAATGTAATCAAATACAAATTTAACGATTCTAATATTTAAAAAAAAATGTTTACGTTGTATTATTTTGGCTGCACAGAGGTTTACTGTTAAAATTAAAACATGAAAGAAAAAATTGTATTATTATCATTACTCTGAGAAGTACATTCTACTGTATAAAACTTGAAATTGTCAAATATTACTATTAAGACTACCTTTGAGTTTCAGACTTAATATTTCAGCAGAATATTAATTGTACAGCCCTACTTTTGATTTATTAATCTAAAATTGGACTCTGGCCCTGTCAGTTTGTCATTCCAACCTTGGGTTTTCACAAGTGCATCTTTAAAAGCACAATGATTAAATGTGGAAGTAGATTACCGTGGTTTAGATCAGATGAAAGCGAACGTCTCTTCCTCCAGCAAACGGCACAAGAGAAGTCGCAGCGCGTCTCGATCACCGAAGAAGCCACGATCTCCCAAGAAGAAACTGTCCCGCTCGCCGTCTCCTCGCAGGTATCACACTCACACACACTCACTCTCTCTCTCTCTCACACTCACACACACACACACTCACATACACACTCACTCTCTCTCTCTCACACACTCACACACACACTCACACTCTCTCACAC